TGTGTCTGTGTCTGTCTCTGTGTGTGTGTGTGTCTGTCTGTGTGTCTGTGTGTGTCGGTGTGTGTCGGTCGGTGTGTGTGTGTGTGTGCGTGACTAGTGAGAGTGAGTAGAGCAGTGGTTGTAGTACAAGCAACAAAGAAAACTAGCATATCAGCGCAGTTCAGTAAAAGGGAGAATGTCCTTTTGGAATTGACGGCTTGCGTCATCGTTCCCGATACATTTGCTCAGTTTCTGTTGTTTGTGCGTGTGAATCTGAAGTGTGCAAGATCTTGTTTCGGGATATTGTTTTAAAGGACGTTCAGGCAGTGGCCATGGCCTTGCCACATCATTCCACCTACAGAAAAATGGAACGAATAATTGTAGAACTAAATTAAACCATCCTCCGGATGTATCCATCGTGTACGAACAAACTAAGACTTGCGTCGTTCCACGAAAGTCCTGAACCTGATCCCTAGACCCTCAAGCTGTGACAGCTAGGCAGGTAGCCAAACAAATCCTAGCCCGTCTCTGAGGAAGTGCAGATCTTGATTGGCAAGACTAGCGAGCACGGCCTCAGCCAGCAGCGGGAGCGTGTCTTGATGCTGGCAGTGCGCGAGGACGTATTGATCAAGTCGCTGTTTTTCTATGACATGCCAGCTGCTGTGGAGCAGGTGCAATGTGACACTGCTTCATGCTGATTAAATTGTTACTGTTCGGTTATTCGTTTGCCGTTGTCAAATGATGGCCAGGTGCCACTGGAGTGCTTCATCGACCCGAAGATCCCGGCCAAGACGACAGTGGAGAAGGATCAGACCCAGACATTTCTGAGGAACCTCAGGTCTGCGGAGAAGATGCTGGGTCGTGCTACGCTCCGAAAGTTCCCGCATGTCTTGGACGTGGGTGCAGGCCAGCACCAGATCTGCAAGACAACGTGGCCCACTATAACGAAGGGCCGAGGTCAAGGTTTGGCATATTACCTGCCACACCTTCGACGTCGCGTCACCATGACGGAGCTAGCCTTTCAACAAGGCCTCGCCTTAAACCTTCAACCCTAAACCAATAGAGAGCCCCCTACCTGCAGGGTTGGAGGAGCCCCTTCTGAAGAAGATGATGGACCTGGAGTCATCCTCGCCGCGCGTGCTGGGAGGAGCCATCGGCAACTCTATCTCCGTCAATCTTCTGGAGAGATTGTTTCCCAGTTTCTTGGAGTTGGGCCGATTGTCAATCACTGTGCCCCCGGCAGTGGACATGCCGGACCTGTGGGGACTTTGCGCCAAGATCTGCCTGAAGAAGAAGGCCCGGCCATGGATAACTGGGGTTTTCAGGGTTTCAGGGTTTGGAGTTTGACGATTTGTGGCTTAGTGTAGCTATAGGATGCATCAGCGGTCTCCTTCCTGTGCCGAAGGCGAAGGGTGAGGCAGCCTACTTTCCAGACGAGCTGTTGCGGCTTCGCAAGCAGCAGCGGACCGGGCGCAGGAAGTCCAAATCCAATGCGAAGTGAGTGGCGAGTTTTGGGCTGGCCCAGCAAAGTAGCAGCGGGCACGAACGCATGGCGTTTTTGATTCCTGTGGAACCCAAGCGCTCGGAGCAGCATCACGCTGTGAGTGAGGGTACAAAGCTTAGGGCGGAACCACCCTTTATATATAGAGGTTTTGGGTTGTGGTAGAAAGGTAATACAATTGTCAGTACAGTCAGCCGTCGCTTGGGATCCTCATGTGATGCTGCACACATGCGTGAGAGTCAGCAGCGGTGGCGAAATCACGTTTGCATTCGTCGAGAGTTGGGTCGAACGAATTGTTGCTCAGCTTAGAGATGTTGACTCATAGCTGCTAAGGCGGGCGGCGTGTCCTTACCTCCCAACTGAGGAATCGCAAGAAAGCCTGGGTGGTCGTGCCGACAATCACGTCAGATGTGAAGAAGAAGTTCAAGAAGCGCAAGGATTTGATGGGAAGGCTGGTGTGTCTCCAAGATTGTTTGAGACAGTTAACGAAGCTACTTTGATGCATATTCGGCAGTCATTGGGTTTACATGCTACGCCATGCACGCTGACTGCCGACGACCTTAGGTGGCTTTGACGGATTCCGTTCCGGATATCCTGGCTGCTATATTCGGCCATTCCGGCACGCTTGTGCTTGAGGCTTTATTTATGTGATTGCAGTAGTGGCTTGGTCATTGCATGAATTCACTGCTTTCATGGAGCATTTTGTTGCAGTCCGAAGCTATTTTGCGGCCTGGTGAGTCTGAGAGCTTTTTCGAGAAGGTGTGGCAAGCCATGGCACCCACTTGCGGCTATGCAGCTTTCCCCCGGGCCAACGACGAAGCCGGCATCAGCTGGATGGAGGAACTCGGCCAGAAGGAGACAGTCACCTTCTACCCGACCGTGGCAGAGGCGATTTGCTGGCGCTTCCGAGATTCAACCCGTGAGTCTTTCAGCTGCGGAATGGCTTTTGCTGCAGTGAATCCCGAAACTAAGGCCAGAATTCCCCCCTACACCTTACAATTTCTGTAAAGCTTGCAGACCCTAATTGCTTACAGCCCGGAAGCCGCTGACCCGGTGACGTCATAGCGTAATTAGTGAATTAAGGTTTAGAGTTTAGCGTGCTACTACACTTCATCACTGTGCTCGATTATCGGGATTAGGCCCATCCTGGTGTTGCCGGTTGCCAGCCACATGGCTGAGGCTTTGCGAGACATCTGGTTGGTGTATATCTATCAAAGCCACGATGGGTAGACTTCTGGGTTTCAGGGCTAGTTGAGATTTTTAGGGTTTGGGCCGAGACTGTGACCAATCGAATTTGCTTCATCTGCGTGGTGGCGTGGCTCAGGGTCTGTGGGTATCTGCTAGTACTGTTAGTAGTAGTAAGTAAGTCCTGCTAGCAATGGTACGATTGGTAAGTCCTGGCAGCCATGGTACTACAGCAGTACTGATTAGTTTGACAACTACCATTCAACAAACTCCCAACGTCCAGCAGCATGCGTGCATTGCAAACACAGCACGCATGCTGCCTTGAGCTAGGACATGTTATCATTGCCCCAACCGGGCTGAATACATAGTTGCATTTAGTGGGATGCGAGTTTAGTCGCCCTAGCTCCCAAAACTCGCCACTCCAGCCTCTAATCTGTTTGGTGGTTTTGGGTGTACGATTTGTGATACGATTGGCGGGGCGCAATTCGGGTTTTAGTAAACCCGACTCTCCAAGCCTGAATGTGGTAGCGGCTTTCGTATTCTGTGGGCAGTTCGTGCGTTTTGCCTGGCTCGTATTTTTTGCCTGTGTCTTGTTAAATTTAGAAGGAAGTCCCAGGCCAGTAGTAAAGTTAGGAACCACCAGACAAGCGAAGGGGCAAATGAGAGGCAACATGAGAGGCTAGGCAAGGGGCCCTGAAGTCGAACCACGCTGGGGCAGCCTACGGAAAGCGTTATTTCCATAATTGCTTTCAGTAGCCCTTATTTGCCCTGATGTGCCCCTTACTTGCAATTGCCCTTGTGTGCCCCTTAGTTTGCGCCTTACGGAACGGGCCATTTCCAGTACTAAGCTCGTGTAAAGTTGTACTACAAGCCAGGATCCGAAACAAGAACTTTGCAGTACTGAAGTGTGAGCAGAATTCAGGCAGGAGCCGAAATGAGGCGTTTACAGTATTAGAAGCAAGCAGAAGACAGCCAGGAGCCGACATGAGGCATTTCCAGTACTAAGTTTGTCAAGTTGTACTAGAAGCAAGCAGAATCTGCAGAATCCAGCCAGGATCTGAAAAGAGGTGTGTCCAGTATTAGTGTTGTAATGTGGGTGCATGCATGCGTGCGTGCGTGCGTGCGTGCGTGCGTGCGTGCGTGCGTGCGTGCGTGCGTGCGTGCGTGGGTGCGTGCGTGGGTGCG